TGCCTCCCAGTGCCTCCCAGTAGCTCCCAGTGTCTCCCCAGGATCCAGAAGGACATGCTGCTGGAGCTGACGCGGGAGCTGATGGCATCCCAGTGGCTCCCAGTGACTCCCAGTGAGTCCCAGTGACTCCCATTGCTCTCCCAGTGGCTCCCAGTGTCTCCCAGTAGCTCCCATTGCTCCCCCAGGATCCAGAAGGACATGCTGCTGGAGCTGACGCGGGAGCTGATGGGATCCCAGTGGCTCCCAGTGAATTCCATTGGCTCCCATTGGCTCCCATTGATTCCCAGTGGCTCCCAGTGGCTCCCAGTGTCTCCCAGTAGCTCCCAGTGGCTCCCAGTGGCTCCCATTGGTTCCCAGTGGCTCCCATTGATTCCCATTGCTCTCCCAGTGTCTCCCAGTGTCTCCCAGTGTCTCCCAGTACCTCCCAGTATCCCCCATTGCTCCCCCAGGATCCAGAAGGACATGCTGCTGGAGCTGACGCGGGAGCTGATGGGATCCCAGTGGCTCCCAGTGGCTCCCATTGATTCCCAGTGGCTCCCATTGATTCCCAGTGGATCCCAGTGATTCCCAGTGTCTCCCCGTACCTCCCAGTATCCCCCATTGCTCCCCCAGGATCCAGAAGGACATGCTGCTGGAGCTGACGCGGGAGCTGATGGGATCCCAGTGGCTCCCAGTGAATTCTATTGATTCCCAGTGGCTCCCATTGACTCCCATTGGTTCCCAGTGGCTCCCATTGGTTCCCATTGATTCCCATTGGCTCCCATTGCTCTCCCAGTGACTCCCAGTGTCTCCCAGTAGCTCCCAGTACCTCCCATTGCTCCCCCAGGATCCAGAAGGACATGCTGCTGGAGCTGACGCGGGAGCTGATGGGATCCCAGTGGCTCCCATTGATTCCCAGTGGCTCCCAGTGATTCCCAGTGTCTCCCAGTGATTCCCAGTGTCTCCCAGTACCTCCCAGTGCCCCCCATTGCTCCCCCAGGATCCAGAAGGACATGCTGCTGGAGCTGACGCGGGAGCTGATGGGATCCCAGTGGCTCCCATTGATTCCCATTGATTCCCAGTGGCTCCCAGTGGCTCCCATTGATTCCCAGTGACTCCCATTGGTTCCCAGTGTCTCCCAGTGCCTCCCAGTAGCTCCCAGTGTCTCCCCAGGATCCAGAAGGACATGCTGCTGGAGCTGACGCGGGAGCTGATGGGATCCCAGTGGCTCCCATTGATTCCCATTGATTCCCAGTGTCTCCCAGTGTCTCCCAGTGTCTCCCATTGATTCCCATTGCTCTCCCAGTGATTCCCAGTGTCTCCCAGTGCCTCCCAGTACCTCCCATTGCTCCCCCAGGATCCAGAAGGACATGCTGCTGGAGCTGACGCGGGAGCTGATGGGATCCCAGTGGCTCCCATTGATTCCCATTGATCTCCCAGTACCTCCCAGTGACTCCCAGTGTCTCCCAGTGGTTCCCAGTGTCTCCCAGTACCTCCCAGTGCCTCCCATTGCTCCCCCAGGATCCAGAAGGACATGCTGCTGGAGCTGACGCGGGAGCTGATGGGATCCCAGTGGCTCCCAGTGAATTCCATTGATTCCCATTGCTCTCCCAGTACCTCCCAGTGACTCCCAGTGTCTCCCAGTGACTCCCAGTATCTCCCATTGCTCCCCCAGGATCCAGAAGGACATGCTGCTGGAGCTGACGCGGGAGCTGATGAAGGAGTTGGGCATCACCGTGGTGGGCGACGTCATCGCCATCCTGCGCCACGCCAGGGTGGTCCACGGGCAGGTGGGACCCCCGGGGGCACCCCTGGGACCTCCTGGGACACCCTGGGACCCCCAGGGACACCCCCAGAACCCCCCAGACCCTCCTGGGACCCTCCTGGGACCCCCTGGGACCCCCCCAGACCCTCCTGGGACCTCCTGGGACCTCCTGGGACCCTCCAGAACCCCCCTGAAACCCCCCTGGGACACCCCCAGACCCTCCTGGGACCCCCAGACCCTCCTGGGACCCTCCAGGATCCCCCTGGAACCCCCAGACCCTTCTGGGACCCCCTGGGACCTCCTGGGACCTCCTGGGATACCCCTGGGACCCCCTGGGACACCCCCAGACCCTCCTGGGACTCCCTGGGACCCTCCAGGATCCCCAGGGACACCCCCAGACCCTCCTGGGACCCTCCAGGATCCCCTGGGACCTCCTGGGACACCCCCAGACCCTCCTGGGACCCCCTGGGACCCCCAGGGACACCCCCAGACCCTCTGGGACCCCCAGGGACACCCCCAGACCCTCCTGGGAACCCCGGGGACACCCCCAGACCCTCCTGGGACACCCCCAGGGACACCCCCAGACCCTCCTGGGACCCTCCAGGATCCCCCTGGCACCCCAAGGGACCCCCCCAGACCCTCCTGGGACCCTCCAGGGACCCCCGGGGACACCCCCAGACCCCCCAGGGACCCTCTGGGACCCCCAGGGACACCCCCAGACCCTCTGGGACCCCCAGGGACACCCCCAGACCCTCTGGGACACCCCCAGACCCTCCTGGGACCCTCTGGAACACCCCCAGGGACACCCCCAGACCCTCCTGGGACCCCCTGGGACCCCCAGGGACACCCCCAGACCCTCTGGGACCTCCTGGGACACCCCCAGACCCTCCAGGGACCCCCGGGGACACCCCCAGACCCTCCTAGGACCCCCTGGGACCCTCCAGGATCCCCCTGGAACCCCCAGGGACACCCCCACAACCTCCTGGGACCCCCAGGGACACCCCCAGACCCTCCTGGGACCCCCTGGGACCTCCTGGGACCCCCAGGGACACCCCCAGACCGTTCTGGGACCCTCCAGGATCCCCCTGGGACCCCCAGGGACACCCCCAGACCCTCCTGGGACCTCCTGGGACCCTCCAGGATCCCCCTGGGAACCCCAGGGACACCCCCAGGCCCTCCTGGGACCCCTGGGACCTCTCCAGGATCCCCCTGAACCCCCAGGGACCCCTGGCCCCCCTTGTCCCCCAGGAGCTCTGCAGGCGGCCTCGAGGATCTGCAGCCCCCGGACCCCCCACCCGACAGCACGGGGGATCTCTGGTAGTGACCCCCGAGACCCCCAAAACCTCCCAGAGCCCCCAAGACCCCTGAGACCCCCAGAGACCCCTGGGTCCATCCCAGCTCCCTGGTCCCTCTGTGTGGATCCCACTGGGATCAGGAGGGATCCACCTGTCTGGAGCCCCCTAAGGGGTCCCTGATCCCCCATCCCCCAATCCTCTGGATCCCCCCAATCCCTCTGGGTCCCCTCCCCAATCCCTCTGGGTCCCTCATCCTCCTGGATCCCCTGATCCCCTCTGAATCCCCAGGATCCCCCTGACCCCTCCTGGATCCCCCAATCCCTGACACCCCTAGATCCCTTTGGATCCCGGATCCCCCTGGATCCCCCATCCCTCTGGATCCCTGGGATCCCCTGACCCTGGATCCCCTGATCCCTGGACCCTCCCAACCCCCTGACCCTCGGGCTCCCCTGACCCCCTGGGATCCCACCCATCCCCTGGATCCTGGGACCCCCTGACCCTCTGGACCCCGGGATCCCCTGACTCCCCTGGATCCCTGGGATCCCTCCTGACCCCTGGGATCCCCTGGATCCCCTGACCCTCTGGATCCCCCTGGATCCCTGGGATCCCCACCCCCTGGATCCCCGGGATCCCCTGATCACTTTGGATCCCTGGGATCCCCTGACCCCCTGATCCCTCTGGATCCCCTGGATCCCTCCTGACCCCCTGACCCCTCGGGCTCCCCTGACCCTCCTGGAACCCTGGGATCCCACCCATCCCCTGGATCCCTGGGATCACCCCTGGATCCCCCATCCTCTGGATCCTGGGATCCCCCTGACCCCCTGGATCTCACCCACCTCCCTGGATCCCTGGGATCCCCTGACCCCCTGGATCCCTGGACCCCTCCCAACCCCTGACCCCCGGGCTCCCCTGACCCCCTGGATCCCACCCATCCCCTGGATCCCTGGGATCCCCCATCCCCCTGGATCCCTGGGATCCCCTGATCCCCTGGCTCCTCCTGACCCCCGGATTCCCCCCATCCCCTGGATCCCTGGGATCCCCCTGGATCCCCCTGATCCCTTTGGATCCCTGGGATCCCCCGGCTCCCCTGACCCCCTGACCCCCTGGATCCCCCTGAACCCCCTGACCCCCTGGGATCCCCTGACCCCCTGGCCCCTTCAGCTCCCCTCATCCCCTGGATCCCTGGGATCCCCTGACCTCCTGGATCCCCCTGATCCTCTGGATCCTCTGGACCCCTCCTAACCCCCTGACCCCCGGGCTCCCCTGACCCCCCTGGATCTCCCCCATCCCCTGGATCCTGGGATTCCCCAACCCTCCCTGGATCCCTTTGGAGCCCCCCAACCCTCTCTGGATCCCTGGGATCCCCTAACTCCCCTGGATCCTTTGGATCCCCCAACCCTCCTGGATCCCTGGGACCCCTGGATCCTCCCCATCCCCCTGGATCCCTGGGATCCCCCAACCCTCCCTGGCCCCCTCAGCTCCCCTGGGTCCCCGGGATCCCCACAGCCCTCCCTGGATCCCCCTGGATTCCCCTCATCCCTTTGGATCCCTGGGATCCCCTAACCGTCCCTGGCCCCCTCATCTTCTCCTGGATCTCCGGGCTCCCCTGACTCCCGGGCTCCCCTGACCCCCCTGGATCCCGGATCCCCCCATCCCCTGGACTCCCAGATCCCCTGACCCCCGCTCTGTCCCCGCAGCCGCCGGGCGGATGATCCGAAGAGCCTGAGCCGAGACCCCCAGAGACTCCACCCAGAGACCCCCGGGCCCCTGCCCCGGGCTCTGCGCCACCGTCCCCAACGGAGACACCGCAGGTGGGGAGGGCGGAGCCCACGGATCCTAACGGGATCCACCCCAAATTCCCATGAGATTCCTACTGGGATCCACTCCAAATTCCCAGCTGGAATTGGGGGAGGTGGGAGGGGGATTTTGGGGGTTGGCGGGATGGGGGGTCGAGAGGATCCTCAGGGATCCACCCCAAATTCCCATGGGATCCTGCTGGGATGCACCCCAAATTCCACAGGATCCTGCAGATCCTGCTGGGATCCACCCCAAATTCCCACGGGATCCCTGCTGGAATCCACCCCAAATTCCCATGGGATTCCTGCTGGGATGCATCCCAAATTCCCAGCTGGAACTGGGGAGGTGGGAGGGATTTTGGGAGGTTGGTTCGATGGGGGTCGAGGGAGATCCTCAGGGATCCACCCTAAATTCCACGGGATTCCTGCTGGGATGCACCCCAAATTCCCATGGGATCCTGCTGGGATGCATCCCAAATTCCCATGGGATCCCTGCAGATCCTGCTGGATCCACCCCAAATTCCTAGCTGGAATTAGGGGAGGGGATTTTGGGAGGTTGGACGGGGTGGGGGGATCAAGGGGGGATCCTCAGGGATCCATGGAGGGGGCTGGGCTGGATCCCAAGGCTTCTGTGGGATCCTCAGGGCTCCAGGGAGATCTGGGATTGATCCAGGCGGATCAGAGTGCTCTGGGATCAATCCAGAAGGATTGGGGGGATCTGGGCTGGATCTTGAGGGTTCTGTTGGATTCTCAGGGATCCAGTGGGATCTGGGATTGATCCAGGGGGTTCCCAGGGCTCTGGGATCAATCCAGAGGGATCAGGGAGATCCAGGCTGGATCCTCGGGGATCCAGGGGTTCCCAGGGCTCTGGGATCAATCCAGAGGGATTGGGGGGATCTGGGGTGGATCCCGAGGGTTCTATGGGATCCTTGGGGATCTAGGAGGATCTGGGATCGGTCCAGGGGGCTCCCAGGGCTTTGGGATCAATCCAGAGGGATCAAGGGGGATCCAGGCTGGATCCTCAGGACTCCAGGGGTTCCCAGAGCTCTGGGATCAATCCAGAGGGATCAGAGGGATCCAGGGTGGATCCTCAGAGCTCCAGGATCTCCCAGGGCTTTGGGATCCATCCAGGGGGATCCAGGCTGGATCCTCAGGACTCCAGGGTGTCTCCTGGATCTCTGCTGACCCCCCATTCCCGTTCCCAGGCGGTTCCAGCCCCCCCCTCCCTCCCCCCGTGCCGGGGGCTCCCGGGAAGCGGCGCCGGGTGACGGCGGAGCGGGAGGGGCGGTTCCGGATCTCCCTTCCCGAGGGATCCCCCGGGAATCCCCCCCGGAAGATCCTGCAGCTCCAGGGGCCCAGAGGTACCCGGGGATGGGAGGAGGATCCCGAATTCCCCCTTGCTGGGATTGGAATTACCGGAATTCGTGGCATTCCTGGCATTCCTGGCATTCCTGGATCCTGTGGGGGGTCGGTTTGTCCCAGAATTCCCACGTTTTTTTCTTCCCTTTGGAATTGCCAGGCCTGGGCAGGACGTCGGTGTTCGAGAGGCTCGGGGCAGAGGCCAAGGCTGAGGGGAAGGTGAGGGGATCCAGGGGGATCCAGGGGGATCTGGGGGATCCAGGGGGATCTGGGGGATCCAGGAGGATCCAGGGGGAACCAGGGGCTTCTGGGGGATCCAGAGGGATCTGGGGGGATCCAGGGGGATCCAGAGGGATCTGGAAGGAAGAGGGATCCAGGGGGGTCTGGGGGATCCAGAGGGATCCGGGGGATCCAGAGGGATCTGGAATGAAGAGGGATCCAGGGGGGCCCGGGGGATCCAGGGGGCCTGGGGATCCAGGGGGATCCGGGGAATCCAGGGGATCCAGGGGGTCTGGGGGATCCAGGGAATCCAGGGGGATCTGAGGGGATCCAGAGGGATGGAGGGGGAGGGAAAAAGGAGCAGGATCCTGAATAGTCTGGGATCCAGGGAGGACAGGATTGGAGGGGGGGGGCCCCAGGATTTGGGATCCAGAGGATTTAGGATCCAGAGGATCTGGGATCCAGAGGGAGTGGGATCTGGGAGGGCAGGATTTGGGATCCAGAGGGTTGGGATCCAGAGGGAGCAGGGTTTGGGATCCAGAGGATTTGGGATCCAGAGGAGAGCAGGATTTGGGATCCAGAGGGTCTGGGATCCAGAGGGTCTGGGATCCAGAGGGAGCAGGATTTGGGATCCAGAGGGAGCAGGATTTGGGATCCAGAGGGTCTGGGATCCCGGAGGTCTCCCCGAGCCCCCTCCTGACCCCCCATTCATTCCGCAGCCCTCGGGGGTTTTCAGCCGCCTGGGGGCCACCCCCGAGGACCCCCCCTTGGAGGAGGAGGAGGAGGAGGAGGAGGAGGAGGAGGAGGAGCCCCCTGGCCCTCTCCCGGAGGAGCCTCCGAGGGCCCCCCTGCCCTACGTGGGGTCCTGAAGAGGCCGTGCCGGGACTGCGGCGGCTCGGAGCCCCCCGAGCACGACCCGGGGCCCCTGGCCCAGGACGGGGCCGTGTCCAGCTCCGGCCTCCCTGAACGCTGGGGAGATCCCCTGAAAACCCCCTGAAATCCCTCTGAAACCCCCTGAAACCCCCCTGAAACCCCCTGAAAACCCCCTGAAAACCCCCCTGAAACCCTCCCTGAAACTCCCCCTGAAGTCCCCTGAAAGCCCCTGGAGCCCCTGGAACCCCCGGCCCCTGCAGCGTCTTCCAGAAGGCTGGGCAGGAAACGTAGAGGTGAACCCGGGATTCTGAAGGATTCCCCAAGGATCCCCAGGGATTCTCCAAGGGATTCCCCAAGGATTCCCCAAGGATTCCCCAAGGATCCCCAGGGATTCCCCAAGGGATTCCCCAGGGAAAAGGGGGGATCCGCCCCGGGAGGAGCTCTTGGAGGGGAAGATTCCCCAGGGATCCCCCAAGGGATTCCCCCCAGGGATCCCCCAAGAGATTCTCCAGGGATCCCCAGGGATTCCCAGGGATTCCTCCAAGGGATTCCCCCCAGGGATCCCCCAAGGGATTCTTCAGGGATCCCCCCAAGGGATTCCTCAATGGATTCCCCAAGGATTACCCAGGGAAAAGGGGGGATCTGCCCCAGGAGGAGCTCCTGGAGGGGGAGATTCCCCAGGGATCCCCCAAGGGATTCCCCAAGGGATTCCCCCAAGAGATTCTCCAGGGATTCCCCAGGGATTCCCAAGGATCCCTCCAAGGGATTCCCCAAGGGATTCCCCAGGGATCCCTCCAAGGGATTCCCCAAGGGATTCCCCAGGGATCCCCCCAAGGGATTCCCCAGGGG